GAGAGAGAGAGAGAGAGAGAGAGAGAGAGAGAGAGAGAGAGAGAGAGTAAAGTAGCAACCGTTTGATGATATTATGGAAAAGTTTGTGTGTGTGAATTTGTTTTTTTCTATTTTCGTTGTTGTTGCTGGAAAATGGAAAAACGCGATAAATCATTTCATAAACGATGAAACGAAAATAAATGGATTTCTAAGTTGAATACAATAAGCTTGGCGTCAGGCGTGAGCATCTATGAAATGGCTAAAATCCATCCAATAAATATCTATACACATGACACGTTGTTGCAGTTAAATTTAGGGCATAATATTATTTTTTTTATGGATATACATATCACTCTCGCCCTCTCTCTACTATATTTATACCATCTATGCGCTGTTGATGGACAGAGAAAGAGGGAAAGAGGGAGTATGTGTGTGTGTGAAAGTACTGACCACTTGATACACGTAAAGCGAGTGGAACTGCAACACCTGCTGCGCCAAGTATGAGCAATATTGATGTTACAGCAACCCAGTGCTTCGAAAATTCCCATTCTGCTTTATTGATTTTATTGTTATTGGTTGATGTTGTCGTTACATAGAGGACGGGCAGTTGTATGGTCGTTTAGTTGTCGGTTCGCAAGAAAAGCGAAAGTGCGAAATTTGTGAGCCACGAAAATGAAACCGAAAGCCACCGAAAATGGAGAGAGAGAGAGAGAAAAATAGAAAAAAGATAATAGAAAAGAGAGAAATAAATGAGTTTATACAAAATATCGTCTTGTTATATTGGACTATTTTCCCCACCCACAACTCCCTCCCGCACATCGCTTCTATTCTTTTCATATATTGATGTGCCTTGGTCTACACAAATTGTGTTGTTGTTACTGTTGTACTTAATTCCATCGCCCACAGAACAAGCACCAAAGTCCTTAACTGCTCTGACAAATACTTGTACGGTGCCGGAAATATCTCGAAAAGTTTTCTCGGCAGGGGTGTTAAATACTTGAAAATTATTATATTATATCGTGCTGAAGCATGTGCCAAAATGCCACTAGACACTGCTTTCTTCTTTCTTTTTTCTTCTCGTGCTGTTTCGTTTGTTCGATAACACTTACTCGACATGTTGGAGCTGCTTGAGCTGCTTGAAGAGCTAATGCTCGGACATTGACGGTGTTTCCAAGGTAATTTATAGTTTTCACTCGAGTGGGCCGGTAACAATACGGAATCAAATGTGCTGCTATTATTGTCCATTTCACCGTCGATATTTTGAAAATGATAATATGATGAATTCAATTGTTCGCTGTTGCTTCGCTTGCTCCGAGCTTTATGTGAACGCAACGAATCGTATCGTAGATTCATTGCCGAATTGCTATTGCAATGCCGGCCAAATCGGGCCATTTCATCGTTAACACCGCCTCCGCCGCCATTTTCAGCCACAATCGATTGGCTTGAGGCCCGAAGAGCCGTCACTAAATTGCACGTGCTAGCATGTACACTTTGAATGTCGGCAAATGTACTGTTTGTAAGATTGCTCATTGATGGTCGCACGACTGCCTCACGTAATTCGTTCACATCCATCGGAATTGGCTGGTTTTTTGCCACAAGCTCATGATAAGTCTCTGCATCAATTGAAAATGATTCGAATGGCATACGGTTGGTGTGGTCGATCGACCGGTCTTTCAAACGATCCAACGACGATTGCGTTGCATTACTTCGACAGATTCGTTTTAGCGTTGCATTCAATTGATTCAATGCCGGGTATTGCTGCATATCAATTGAAGTGATTTTATTTTTTTGGTTATTCAAAATGTCAACCAATTTAAATCGATTTGCATCACCATGTCGGTTGGTTTGTAATCTTGTGGTTGAGGCTGCTTGTTGTTTATTCAGCATGCCTGACAGTGCCGGTCGACTCTTATACCGTGTACCCGTCACCGTTACTGAATCATTGTAGCTGTGACGAAACGATGCCGATCTTCGGTTCATCACTGACGGTGGCAACGGTATCGATTCAATGTCTAACTCTGCGTCAGCCTATATGTGTAGGGGAAACAAGTATAGCAAATTACCGTCATATGTTTGTTCGTTCGTACATATTTAAATCACTTCAAAATTAAGTTCAACTTTTGCACACACATAAACGCACACTAATTATGTGACAACACGATAAGCTCTGCATAGAAGTAGTGTGTAAAGCGTGATAATAGAGTTAATGAGTGAGTGAATGAGAAACGTAAACTTTTCAAAAGTTTCAACACAAAATTCGAAAATAAAGTTAAAAAAACAACATCATCGCATATTAGTTTTCTAAAGTTAATTCGCGAAAAATTATGTCATAATTTCATTATGTGTGATGAGAGAGAAAAAGGAGAGAATGAACATCGAACCGAAGGAAGTAATGAGAGGAGAGTGAAGAGAACTAAAAAAAAAATACGTCAGCAGTGCGAAAACATTAAATACAAACATGCAGAGAAGAAAAAAACGTCAAACTAATTTGTTTATTGCGTTAATCAACGTTGTCGACCGACATTGAGCTGCGTTCTGCGTTGCGCATTATTGCATGTGAACGAGCGAGAAAATACATCTTATTTTTGCTCGGTCGACGATGCGATATTTTTTCTGTACTTTTCCGGAACTTGAACACATTCTCTGCAATAAATTGGCGACAGGCGCTTTTTACGCTTATTTTTCTTTGCGTTTTTCAACAGTATAGTATAGTAAAACATTATATTTTATATGCTACTTTATTCGTTGTAGTGAAAATGAACAAGGTCCTAATTTTACTTAGCTGAACGAATAACACGGCAAACGAATCGAGATACATTTTTTTTAAACGAAGCTGATTTTTCTGATAAAGCATTTGCATTTCGGCAGAGAGAGGGAGATAAAAAAGGAGAAAAGAACATATTGAGATTCGAGTTCGGTTCTTAAATATTGCTGGAAATTCCGGGGTGAAAGTTTCTCGCTACCAATGTAAATTGAGTTAAAATAACTTTTAACCGGTGCATGATACATACCCGTGATACGTACCCTGCAGGATTATCATTTTCATGAAATTAAATCATTTTAAACCAAAGATGGGTAGAACGAAAGAGAGAGCACAGAGCAATTTTTCACTGATAATATAGAGCAAATAAAAGAGCTGGCATCACTACAAATTTATTAAATTTTCTACGCATCAAATTAATTTCTGTTTTCCTCTGTAATTAGGCTTTTGTTCGGCTTCAATTCGCTTGGTAATAAATTTGCGCGAAAAATGGCTGTATTTCCATCTTTATTAATTGAAAATTTAATTGAATAATGGATGAAATGGATGAATTATTAATTAAAATGATGATTTGAAATCACCTACTGGTTGCTGGTTGTAAATGAAAATTGCGCAACGTGCACGCACGCGCGCCATATCCCAATATTCTGATGATGAATCATATTGTGTGCCTAACGAAAAATAAATTTGTGTCTGCAGCTATTATCAATTGGGCGCAGATAATTGTTTCGAAGCACACTTTATTGCCACAATACGCGTGCAATGTACGCGCCACATCATGGGTGACGAGCTATGGGCAAAAAGGGAAACGCTGTACACATCTTTTGGACAATGATAATAATGAAAAGTCGTGGTTTTTCACAATCATTTACTACAAACTTAATTCTATTCCCGAACAAAAACAACGAGGGAAAAACCACAACCTCCAATTCAATTTGTGGTAATTGAGCAGCAATTTCGCGGAATGAGAATGACTTATTACACATTCATTTCATTGCATTACCGAATTTCGGGAATAAAAGTCAATCATTTTTCGTTATAATACATGGTACATGGTTTTCCAACTCAACTTTGATGATTCGTTCTGAGAAACGGTCGGTTTCAGTTTGGTTCTGTGCGTTTCACTTCGACCGTCTATTTTATTAGAACATTTTTTGAGCCAAGAGAATTCGAAAAACTTTCACAACAAGGAAATTGCCCCAGCACACACAAACACACAAACAATGGGCCATTGTTTCGCTTTTTGAATGTGGCGTTTAGGAAATAATGCCATCAATGTAAAGAACTGCTTATTGCTGTTGCCTGCCGTAATTTTGCCTAGCATCACCATTTACTCGGCCGCACAACATTTTATGTGTGTGAAAGAACTGTATCCATTGATTTTATCAGCCAGGCTGGCTGTGTGTGTGTGTGTATGTGTTTTAAAAATATTCAATTTGAATTTCCGCTATCTCATATCGATTGGATTCCCAGAACAAAACCAACGATCTGATAAATTTTTCAGCGCATGTGATGATGTTTTGGTGTGCTGTGTGCTTTCGCATGAAAATTTGAGAGCAAATTACTATCCGATTATGACCGTTGAGCCGAGCTTCAGCATCATTGGAATGCCAAATTCATATCGCCAGGAGTTCAATAAAACTTCGTCTTTGAATACCCTAGCCAGCGCGTTTTCATTGGCATATATTGAAACTATTGCTTTAGTTTGGCAAATAACTGAATTTGTGCGGATTTTTGCCGAATAAAATTGCATGGCGAAAAAACTTTTCGCCATAAATTGGCTGTTTGGCATCTATATTTCGGTTATATTTGTCATTTGGATAGGGAGAAGAGTGCGTATTTGTATTCATTCATCTGTTTTATGACCATTTGAATGTTTGACTGGATGAGTCAAAGTCGAATCTAAAGAGGAGTGAGCGACGAAAAAAAATGTTATGATGAGAAATGAAGAAAGATTATTCTTTTCTCATTAAGACAAAACATAGTATAGTACTTTTATAACCCAAACTTTTTTCTGGCACTTTTTTCCACTCTTTCTCACTCTCTCTCTCTCTACCTCCTCTCTATCTATCTCTCTTTCTCTTTTTTTCCTCTCTTGTTGCATTAATGAAAATGGCGAACGAAGGTGCTTAAAATGAGTTTACCTTGTGCCCAATTATAAAATGTGCTGAACATTTGTTTGAGTTTTTCGTCCGAAACATCAACAACAATTACGCTCAAATATTTGTGCAATGTTTGCATATTTCGCCAGAAACCAGAAGCCAGAAGTAATACTTTTGCCACTGTTGTGAACCAACGAAACAACTGGAAAATGTTAAGAGATTGGCCGGAAAGTGTACGGAGGAGTGTACGATGAAAAAAGAGAAACCAACAACAAATTTAGACTAATTGAAGATGAATGATACCAGTGAAAGTGGTGTTTCTTTAATTAAAACAAATCACGTTTCATGTACACTATTTTTGAACAAACGTTCAATTGCGAAAGCAATAGCAAAGCGATCATAGTGAAAGCTGAAAGGAGTTTCGAATTTAAGAATTTATTGCAGCTACACCCGAAATGTGTACATGTACAGCATTTTCTATAGTTTGGAGTGGAAACTTTGTGTTTGTTAAAATACTATGTTGGGCCAAGGAGTAGAGAACAGAAAAAGAAGAAGAAGAAGAAGGAGGTGAGCATTGAATGAGAATGAGGGAAAAAAATTAGCAACCGAGATGGAGCACATTAAATTGTTGACGAGAACATTCGCACAGGCCATAAATTATATCTAATGCGACTAATGATGTTCGCCGATGCCAATATATACATATTCGTGTGATATGTGCAAATAAAATCATACAGATGGACCACAACTGTACAATGTATGTATACATGGTGTATGTATGCGGAACGCAACCACACGAATACTAAGTTAACAAACCACATCACATACAAAAACTGAAACACATCAACTAATTATGAATGAATGATGGAAATGAACCGAATATAACAACAACAACAAGAGGCGAACAACACGAAGCCAACAAAAACAACAAGAGAAAATGTATACAAGTGTAATTCCATCAATTAAAAGTGATGAGCTTTTTTAATGTGGGAACACCGCGTTCTCGCGTATGCCCACGGCAGCGGCAGCAACGGCACTGTGACGGCCCACCCCATTGTACGCGCTTTCTATTCATGTGTTGTGTACGAATGTCATTTCTAAGGATGGAATTGCGATAGCAAGAGAAAAAAACCCACTCACAACCAAATAATGTTTGTATTGGCGCTGTGTGGTGAATTTTTAATAAAACATTCAAGCAAAAAAGTAATGGAAACGAAAGAACAGAGAGAGAGAGAGAGAGAGAGAAAAAGATGTAAGGAAGAAAGAGAAAAAACGCTGTGGAAAAAAACAAGTGAAGTTGAAACGTTTTGAAAAATAATAATCTTTGCCAGAAGCATTTGTTTGCCTGAAAGTATATTTGCCATTTGAAAGTTTTTATATGCAAAAGGTTAACATTATGTGTACATTAGACTTGCTGGATGAATATGCGTGTGTGTGTGTGTATCGTGTTTACGTTACGAGCCTAGTACAATGTTACTCTTTTCTACTGTTACAGTTACCTAGAATAGTAACAATAATTACACAACAAGTACGAAAGCACACACATACGGCCATATAATGCACCGCACATGTTTCAACGCTTTTGTAATAACAATCTTTTCGCATTTCTTCTTTGCTGCTTGAATTGCTCTCTTTTTACGAGATCGCCCTCTCTCTCTCTCACACACACACACACTATGCTTGGTACCAACTGTTTCCACACATAAAATGAATATGAATCAACCGTAAATCATCCGGGCAAATGCATAGCACATAAGTACCACCACCCGGGCAATGGTGGTGGATATTAAATGCGAGTGTATGTGGAGTCTAGACCAGCATTGGTTGGAATTCAAGTGCTTCGACACCATCAGTGCACTCTTCGACTTGCACTGGGCACACAACTCATACACACACACACACACACCGCGTGCGCTTTTTCCAAAATGCGAATGAACTTATTTCCAAGCGAACAAAAATGAGCAGATGCAACTTTAAAATACTTTCTTTTCATTTATATTGATGCAATGGTTCGTTGATGGTTTTGCAAGAGGGTGAGTGAGTGAGCGGGCGAGCAAAGAAGGAGCAAGGGAATGAAAAAGAAGCGTGAGAGCGAATCACTTCATGCATTTTTTTTTATCAGCGGTTTAACTTTTTCATCCCCCACTCTTGTATTCCATTCAAAGTTTGTTTAATATTTTCAATGCTTATGAATAAATGACTTTTTGCAATGAACACAAAACCATAGATTGGAGTTTTCAGATTTCACACGCTGAAAAAATGAAAGGAGAAGGAAAAAAAAATAAAATAAAAATGCAACGGATCTGAACGAAACAACACACGAAAAAAAAGTATGATATTACTATGCACGATAAAGAGGCAAATCGCGTAGCGTTCGTTCAATGCACAAGAATATTCATTTCTTGTTGTGTGTGTTGATTGTGTGTTTTAATGAATGCTCTCGAATGAGAGAGGGAAAAAAACCAGGATCCACTTTATGAATTCCATTTGTGCAAAGATTAATATTGAATGGAGCCAACTAAAGACCATTTTAAAAATACACACACACACCGAACAGAACGGAGCAGAATAGAAATGCACATTGAATGCAGAAAATACCAAATACCACCTAAAACACTAGCCAGAGGGAATTTTGTTCGGCAAATAAAATAGCAAGATGTTTAATTATTTCAATTTTTTTTTTCTCGTTCCATGTTGCTATTCCGTTTGTCCATACAACGAGTAATTTCTGCCGTTTTCTGGTTATCGCACATCCGGCTATCCGGAAAATTTCATCATGCTGTTGAATGCATATATCATTTGAAATATGCAAAATAGAAATGATGAAACAATATAGCGCGTGTACGTGTCAACATTTTCGGTTCAAAAATAGATAAAAAGCACTGGCAACGGTTTTCAACTTTTCGAAAAATGTGTCCGAATCAGAAATGCTGAAAAGTTCATCCGACCACCACTCAATTTGACACAGGTCACATGTAATTTTGTAAAATGCTATGCGGAAAATATGTTTTAAATTGATCCCAGCTTCGGTGTGTGTTGTTTAAAATTGTTATTGGCACTCGTTTTTTTGTTTGTTGTCTGTCACAAACTACCCATTTTTGACAGCCTGCATTTTCACATATACATGACATGAAGAACAAAAAAAATGACGAAAAAAATATTGCTCTGAATATTTTAACCACGTTATGTTCGACACACAGATAGAAAAAACTAAATAATATCACATTTAATACCTCCAACATACTGTTTGTGGTTTAGATAGAGTGACAGAGATACCGAAATTCTATTTTCAAGCCACGACATATGTAATGAGATTACATGAATGCGAAGAAATACAAATTAACAACGTGTACATATAAATGCATAACAAACAACCAACGAGATGATATAACAACTTGTACGCAAAAGTACACAATAAAAAAAGAAGAAGAGAAACAACAAATATTACACAATTCCATCAACTTCATGCTGCTTTTTTTCTGCTGACAAGAAAAAGTACTTTAAAATCATTTTCGTTCCCTTGCAAATCAAAGCGATATAGTTGGTTGAATGGTTGCTTTATTTTTGCAAGATGCTGGAATGATTGGTTCGTTTTTCTGTTAGCTGTTGTATACACACAGTGTTTTTGAGTGAGTATGCCATACTTACCCGTGTTTTGTTGGCCTTTTTTTGTCTCTTTTGTGATTTTCGTATGGTTGAGTACTTGTATGTGTCGACGGTGCGAAAAGGGTTCGTTTGAATGCGATAATTAGACTAGTTGTTTAATTTTGTGTGTGTGCATTCATATTCAAGCATTTTAAGGGATGGTTGAACCGCACGCAATATGGGCATTTTTTTGTTCGTTCGTTTTTTTGTGTTTTTTTTTTGGTTTGCAAGCGGAAAAGCGTGAAATTCAATTGTGCAACCGGAAATAAATAAAAATGTAAGTATTCAAAATATGGGAATTAACATTGTTAAACAAAAACAATAACAACAATCAAAAAAACCAAAATTGATGGCGTAAGCATTGCCTAATTGTCCAGATAAAGTCAAATGATGTGTTTATTTTCAAGTGGTTTTCTTTGTAACGGTGGAAATGCCATTTTGTGATTGTATTCGAATAAATTTTGGACACTATTTAAATAATGTATATGCCTTGCTTAGAATTCCAAATGGAATAAAAAGGAAAATCGAGAACAAAACTAGAATGCATGTAAAATTGGCTATTTTAAAATTTGGCACACTTACCGTTTCATTTAAATAATTATTTCGATGCAGTTCGTGCTTGTCGCCGCGATCCCGTTCAAATTTATCGAGCAACGATGCCGTGTAGTCGGTTGCTCTAGATGGTCTGGATGTTGTTGCTACAAACGTTGCCGCTGTAGTTGTTGTTGTTGTTGTTGTTGCTGCTGCTGCTGTGGCGGCAGTTGAGTGAGTTTTTGTGTTTCTCTTCTCGATGCTGCATCGTGGATTGCACTGATAAATTGAATTTCGAAATTGCAAATCCATCTTTTTTTTTCGGTCCATCGTGTAAAAAGTCGTGACAGTATGGCAATGGCAATATTGCATTAATTAATAATACAGCAAATGTTAAAATCAATTGAAATGATTTGTTGGGGAAAAAAATTGCATTTCGTTAATTGACATGAGTTCAGTTATAAAAAATTAACCCGATTCCACATTATTATCATTGGCATCGATAGGAATTTTGTTTTCATTTTCTACTAATTACCTTAATTTCAGCATCACAGCAGCACGTTGAACTATTTCCGTAGCTGATTGTGTCAAAATTATTGAAATTCGATTCGGAACGACTGAAATAGACCTCCTTCTGCAGTGCTCCCATACGAGTCAGTGTGTGTAATGTGGCCGAATCGGAAAATTGACTGCATGTATCGAGATTATCCAAGCCTTGTATCAACCGTGATGGCATCTTTCTACAATCTCCTCCGCTTCAATGTGATGAACTCGCTCGCTCGCTTGCTCTTGGCCAACTGGATGATTCGAATGGCTTAAAAATTAAATGGAAACATTTCAATGGAATTGGTTCAACGTGTTAATGGCACTTATTTAATTATTAAAATATTTCGGTTTACTGAATCTACAGTTTTTCACCCATGTACACGGTGTTTTCTCTCTTCATTCATCTAAAGTGAGCAATTTCGATAATACACTATTTGCATATTAAGTCACTTTAATTACGGTATATAGTGAATGATACACTCGGTGTGTACTGTATCAAAATATGTCACCTTAAATTTGTTTTAGGTTCGATAGAGACGGAGAGTGAAATGCAACGGTGTCGGTGCATCGACAGTCACTGTCGACAAGCATTACCATCCACTAATTGATTGGCATGTTGGGAAACACTGAGCAATCAACGCGCAGATACCAGTTTGATGAGAAAATGAAGTGCAATTCGAAAGTCACGATAGAGAGAGAGAAAGAGAGAGAGAGAGAGAACGAAACAACAGCAGAAGAAAAAAAAACATAATACATCAACAACATGCACCAACATAAATAATGAGGTAACGTCGAAATGAGGAGCGAACAACATGTTGCGGTTTTTAAACACGTCTCACGAAAATGTGCTTTTCACGTGAATTGAGCGAGATTTTCCATGGTAAATATTTTCATAGCTTTTATACATGGAACAGTGGAGATAGCGGACGAAAAGGAGAGCGAGGGAGGGAGAGCGAATAACTAATCTGGCGAACAACTGAACAACTTGTACCTGATAACTTTACCCATTTAACTTGAGTGCAATGAATAGTGTACTCAGTGTGCAATATGCATCATGCATTGTGCGCATATACATGCACATTGGCTGAAGAAGCATCTTCTATGGTTTTCATTCTCTCTTTCGTTTTTTCCACACTAAAACTTTATTATATTATTGAATCATTCTTTTGTTGGTTGACTATGTTTAGCTTCTTTTTTATCGCATTATACCTGTAAAAAGATACTACAATGTGAAAAACCAGTGCACCGGGAAAGAGAAGAAAATCTGTGTGTTTCAGTAAAACCCAAATGAATTCTTGCTGTTTGTTACTTTTACGGATGTTTTGTCGTCTATTGATTTCCTTGAATATTAAAAAAAAAACACCGAAGCAAAACGAAACAAGCAACAATTTTACGTATCACAGCAGAAATGTTCAAATCCCTCTTGTCTGCATTGCTCGAACGCCCTGTTGCCAACGTATTTGCAATATTTGTTCGCACAAAATTGGAGCCAGACATATGCTGCAGGTAAAGCTAAGCGCTTAGTGTCGAATTGGATCACTTCCTCTCAGTGTGGTTAAGAAAGCATGCCGAGAAGCAAATCATTTTTAAAAACATATTTTCTTTTTGCTTTGTGAAGCAGTATGCTACGACTGTGTATATATAAGCGGTGTGTGCTGCGAATATAATAATTGAAAATTCGCAAATGGCAATGTTCGAATTCAAAACTCAGAAATACGGAAATTGCTATGGATTTTATTTACCGACACACACAGGGGGAGATAGCGAAAAAGCGAAGAAAAGAAGAAAATACAAAAGCAGTTTCAAGGCGGAAATGGAGTTTTCGATAAGAAACTTGAGTGTTACAAATTGTATTCAATTTATGCGAAATCTGTGGATGAACCATAATAATCGTGCGCGTTATCTGTTGTGTTGCAGTGCGGCAAAGGGAATTTTGTGCCTGGAATATCATTCAAGCTTTTTCTCTTCATAAACATGATCAATGTAATAACACTGACCTGGCATTTTTTTTTGTTTATCTCATTCTTTGGCCCTGATTATTATGTGCGCGTATTTGTTACGGACTGCAGCTTCGAAGCAATGGAGTGATTACTTGGGTATAAAGTAAATTTGTTGGTTTTCAAGACGAAAAAGAAGAAAAATGGTCCAATTTTTAAGCATCGTTGAAATGATTTGTCATGCTGTTTTGTGAACAAGACGATGGCAGCAGGAATTCAATTTGGTGAACGTTAATGGATGAGAATACGAGGAAGAGCGACCGAAACTGACTGACGACGACGGCAAAAAAAGAAGGAAATTCTTAAGTAACTTTCTCCGTTTCCATGTTATTTTACAATAATTGTTCAAAAGATATGTGCTGTTCAGTTCAACAGTTGAGAATTTTTTTTCAACTCAACAAGAAACTTGCTCCTGTAACTAAAAAGCACTTCCTACCCCACTCACACACGCAAAACACATTCGAATGGCATTTATGAAGTGGGAGATAACTTTTTGCGAGTTTGCGAGAAGTAAAACGGATATTGCAATGATAAATTTTAACTGTCATAAAATGATTCCTTGTAATAATAATATGGGGTGAACAAAACAGTTTTAATTCTGTCTCTTTTGCAAAAGTCCTCCGGTTCCGTTGAATTTTCGCCGATTTCTCCGAGTTTCATGTTGTTACTGTGTTCGTTTTTTTCTCTTCTGTTTCAGCCAGTTGCCTTTGCTACTGTACCTAAGTTTGGCTTGTTGCTCCAATTCATACAATATGATCCCTTTTCGAGAAAAAAAAAACAACATATTCTCTTCGGAATACATACACATTTTAGGCTTACTTGTGTCGCATAGACTCAAGAATTTCCTTGTAATTATATTATATTCGAATGTTGAAGGCGCGCGCTCGCTCACTCGCTCGCTCGCTGTATGCTTTTAATACTCGCGCCGATGCATATTACAAATTCCACGCCATGTAATAAATAACAGTCATGCTCTCGCTATGAACATATTCGCTCTCACTCTTCACATCTTGTCTCGCTGCCATCTCTCTCAACTTATTTTTCCTTCTCGTATTTTCACTTGTCAGCTGAATAAAAAATGCCGCAAATAAAATCTAACACAATTGTGTTTTGAAGAGACGATGGAATGAGAGGGAGAGAGGGAGAGAAGGAGAGGGAGACACCGAACAACACAACCTGTAAGCTTTGGTTGAAAATTTAATTTTGTTTGTTATTCCGAAAACCGAATGAGCAAAGCTGCTGACATAAGACAATTGAATACATACAGATATAATACATTTGGAAACGGATGTGGGTAATCTGTGACACGAATTTACGTCGACATTACGGCTGTGAACAGGTTTACGGTGCTGATGATGTCGTTGAAAAGCACAAACACAACAGCACAGAGGAGCGACTCAAACCAATTTAAGATTACAAGCAAAAGAGCAAGCATGTTCAAAACTCATTCGCTCTAACTCTCTTGATGTGGCACTGGTGAACTTACACCTTACACCCATATCAGTAACAAAAAGGTGATGCTCGTTTTTATCAAACAATTCACATCATATAATAGACTCGAAGAACAGCTCAGGCACTGGGAACAACACACTGACTCCTCGATAAAACTAACATCAAGTTTATTCAACTTGAGACAAAATTTACGGACTATTTTTGAAGTCACCCGAACTGAATTTTTTATGTCATTTCAAGTTATATTTCTTTTTTCGGGCTCAAAAGGAACGAATTGAACGAAAATGCATTACGAAATCCATGCTTGGTTGGACTGCATTCAAGCGGTCTTGCAATTTTCCAGGAGAATTGTGAAATCGATATGTGGAAATCTTAATGCAGTTTATGCTCGAGTGTTGAATAAAAGTGATGGTGTTTGTGATGGCTGTGGTGTTGGTGGTGCAGATGGGCTCAGTGTGTTAAGTGATTTCTCAAAATTATAGACTATAACAATATCTATCTATATGTGAAAGACAAGCAGCTATTAACCTTAATGAGTGAGCAGGATTTGGGGCGTGCTTCATTTATGGAAATTTACTTCGGTGAAGCCTTCTATTTTGATTGAACTTTTCATTAAGGACTTTAAATATCGAAGTTATTTTCACCTGTCTGACTCTGTTGGAAAGTTGCACCTCTATCTGAACTTTGCTACTGTTTTTCTGCTCCGCTTCTTTAGCTGCTCTTCTTTGCTCATGAATAAACTCATTTTGTCTATTTCAATCAATCAACAGCAGCATTGTTTCGCCATATTTAAAGAGCGCTCGCGCATAAATGCTGCACAATAGATGCATAAAAGTAATATGATTACATGCAAAGTAACCGTTCCATTTGATGTAATCGGTTGGAGAATTTCATTAGAAATTCAATGGAATAAAATCCTTTGCATGCATATATACGTTTATTTGAATTTATCAAGCCGCAATCTGAAAATCACTCTGCTCTGCAGAAAAAGAGCGAAGTGATTCGGTTCACATGGTGAAAATATGCTTTTTAACAGAGCAACAGATAAAATTTGACGCACAGTTAAATACTGAGCCGGAGACATTCTCATTGAACATTTCCATTGTTTTAACCATATCTTGTACATCGTGCACATTCTCATCTCGACTTATGTATATCTCTGACACAGTGTGCTTGCTGCTGCTGTTGTTATCTTTTGGTTTTCTTTTCAACAACCGTCTGAAATTATGTAATTTTGGTGGCGTGTGTTTTTGCTTTTTCTTCTTCTTCTTCTTCTTCTTCTTGTTATCGTCTTCCATTGTGCATGCTGCGAATTGAATAAGTGATAAACTGTCTTTTACAGCCGCACCAACAGCCGTTCGTTCGTTCGCTTGTTGGCATTGAATATGTCGCTCTGTCTGTCTTTCTTTCTTTCACTCTTTCACTCTTTCTCTCTCTCTCCCTCTCTCTATTTATTCACGAGATGTACCACACAGTACAGTACGCTATATATTTTGTTTCTATTCATTTTGAGCCCTTTTATTGTTATGGGTTTGACAGTCTTAAAACCCCGAGTGCATAGCAAAAACTTGCCGAACCGAATAAGACACACATCGAGAGTGAGAGAGAGAGATAGAGAGAGAGAGAGAGAAGGCTGTGCAAAATTAGTCGTCATCGTCGTGGGACGGATGTGTGCGACGAAAAGAGACGTAAGTCAGCCAAAAACACATTAAGTCAAGTTATTTTTTTTAATGAACATGGTTTTTATGCGCTTGAAAGAAGCACAGCAGTGCAAAAAAAAAACTTATGGTTTCTGCATGTGTAGGACAAACCTGACGAC